TATTTATTTATTTATTTTGGTGGAACTGGGGATTGGACTCAGGTCCTTGTGCTTGCCAAGGAAGCGCCTATTCCACTGAGCCACCTCCCCGGCCCTCTCCTGCCTTTAGAAGAGGCACTTCTGGTGTTTGTGTTTGTGGGTTTGAGTGGCTCTTTCGCTGGCCTGGTTGCTGTTTTCCCAGTCTGACTTGGGGCCGTAGGTCATCTAAGAGGCAGGAGGTTGGCACAGAACCTGCAGTGGCCCTATTCACGCCCCAATCCTAAATATTTAAACACACAAAATCAATTCAAGTGCTCAGTGTTAGCTCCAGAATACTGTGGGCTAAGTTTTTCCTTTTGTTATTAATTCAGCTTGCTTCATTTTTATATATACGGTTCAAAGAATGAAGCAAGAATGTGGTCAGTAGCTGGACCTCGTGGTGCATGTCTGTAATCCCAACATTCCATAATCCCAAGAGTCCAGAGCAGGAGGCTTGACGCAGGTATGAGGCCAGCCTGGGCCACATAGTGAGTTCAAAGCTGGCCTGACTACACAGTGAGACCCTGTCTCAAAAGAACAATAAAAAGTGTTCATTGTACAGTGAAAAGCAAGAGTCCTATGGCGATGGGCTTTGGTAAGGGATGCTTTGTGCAGAAATAGTCTTAGTGAATTTGTTGAGTTCTCTGAAACTTCAGAGTCCTTTGTTTCCAATTTATTTTTCCAGATGCTTGTTTGTTTTTTACTTGCAAGAAAAAAACAATGCTCTCTAAATTGAATGACATAAGAACTGATTTTGGGGGCAACCGGGATATAGCTCAGTGGCACAGCACCTACCTCAGCAAGCGCAAGGTCCTCAGTTCAATTTCTAGAACTAGAAAATTTACAAAAGAATTGGTTTTTGGATTAGACATCTAGTCTCCACAAATAATTGAGCATTTTATTTCTGATAGGGGCACTATAAGAAATGATAATATATTCTAAGCATAGCTATCATGCTTTGACTAATCGGAAATAATCTAGTTGTACCTAACTAGGCATATGAATGTTTATGAAAATCATTTTTGAGCCATCTTTTTTGATTTTAGTACCTATGAGATTAATAACACAGGAATGGTGTTGTTAGAGATACAGTACACCAAAGGGCTCCAAAGGGCTCCAAAAGCACAGGCTCCAAAATGAGACTACTGCAACCTCACCACTCAAGAGGCTAAGGCAGGAAGATCACAAGTTCAAGGCCAGCCTAGACTGCATAATCAGACTTTGTCTCCAAAAACAAGGAACTACCCCAACAACAAAAAATGTGACCACCTCTATTTTTTGAGGAGGTTAAAACAGGGTGCTGTTATATAGTATAGGCAGGGTCTGAACTAGTCTAGGCTAGGCTTGAACTCAAAATCCTCCTGCCTCTGCCTCCCAAGTGCTGGGATTTCACACCTGGTCACCACCTATATCTTAATCCCATCTTTGCCACATACTTTGCTATGTGACATTGGGATTTAGTCCCTTCTTTTCCAGCTCCTTTATCTATAAAATCTAGATGTAATAGAAACTATTATATATTAATATTATTTAAAGAATTAAGAGATAATGACTAGTTCACAGTGACTAGTCAAGTCTTAACTGATTTTAATAATAAAAATAATGATATTTACTTTAAAAAGTCTAGCCAGGTATGTATGGTGGCACACACCTATAATCCCAGCACTTGGGAGGCTGAGGCAGGAAAATCATTGGGAACCCAGCCTGGGTTACAAAGTGAGCTCAAGGCCAGCCTGAACTGCATAGTGAGATTCTGTCTCAAAAAGACATACATAAGTAAATAAATTTATGAGATGACTCCAGTAGAGGAGGGGATGTTGAATATATGGAGTAGAGCATAATGTACAAAGCTCAGATGAAAAAAACATTGATATCAGTTATGGAGGTGGGCACACTTATTGTAATGAGAACAAGGAAAGAGCTGTAAGCAAAATAGAGTGTTGGTGTATGATGTGATAAGGAAGGCAGTTTGGTGAGTCCGGGTACTGTACTGGCTGTCCCTTAATTAAGTGACTATGTTTGACTGCATTACTGTCTATTCTTGGGCCATCTCAGCGGTTAGCCAGACCTAGTCCCCTGGGTTGTAAAATATTTTTAAAAATTATGTATTATAGGGGCTGGTGAGATGGCTCAGTGGTCTAAAGCACCTACTTAGAACAAGCTTAGCACAAAGCATAGGGACCGTGGTTTAATCCCCCAGCACCACATGCCAGCCAGCCCGCCCCCTGGTGGGCTGAGCTGGCCACACACACACACACACACACACACACACAAATAAATAAATAAAATTTAAAAAAAATTATGTATTATAATCATTATGCCTGTTTTAACAACATTTACCATTGCAGATTTTCTTACTGTGTTGGCACACACACACCTGTAATCCTAGCAGGTAGAGGCTGAGGCAGGATTGAGAGTTCAAAGCCAGCCTGGATTGTATATTGACATCCTGACTTTAAAAAAAAAAAAAAAAAAACGCTTCCCTGGCAAGTGCAAGGGCCTGAGTTCAATCCCTGGTTCTGCCAAAAAAAAAAAAAAAAAAAAAAAAAAGAAAAAAAAAAATGTTCTCACTGAAGGGGAAACTGAAGATATAGTACTCCACAGTTATAAATTGTTAATAGTCTTTTAATATTTATACAATATTTGAAGCCTACACTTAAACAATAGAAATTTTTATATTTATCTAACAGTATTAGTCAAGATACCCTTTGGCTACAGTACATTTTTTGTTTGTCTTTAGTACCAGGACCCTCCAGTGACAGTGGCATCAGTATTACTATGATTTTGATGGCCTGGATGGTTATTGCAGTGATCTTGTTCCTACTGAGACCTCCCAATCTAAGAGGATCCAACCTGCCAGGAAAGCCAAGCAGCCCTCATAATGTAAGTGCTATGGGTTGTGTGTGTGGCCCGGAGAGAGGGGGGCGAGTGTATTTTGCCTGAAAACATGGTATCTAAATTAGCAGGAAGAAAGCTTAACTCATGCAGTGTGTTCTTGCTCTGTAGTCTTGATAAATCTTGAAGGTAACCATAGAAAACAGCACAGACAAGTAGTCTTGTCATTTAAAAGTCAATTCCAGGCTTTACTTACAAGAACAGGAATGAAGATCAGCTCTTAACACAGCTGGAACTCCGACCTTTGGCCCTGTCTCTGCACAGCTGGACCTTTGCCACTCACACAGCCACTGCACCCCTTGAGCACCCCTAGGAGCTTCATTTCCATCTGAGCTTTTATTTTATTTTATTTTTTCCATCTGAGTTTTTAAATTCAGTACACATAAAGACTGAGCCTAGCTGACTAAATTCTGTTTTTCTTTTGTTTTCCCAGCCTATTTCTCTCAGATTGATTTTCCCTTTTTTTAAATTTAAAAACCATCGATGTCTGCAGTTCCTTTCCTCATGTGCATGACACATCCTCGTGCTTTGACACCTACTCCCCGCTCTCCCTGCGCCCTTCGTGTCTTGGTCCCATTTCCATTTGCAAGAGATCTGTATTTCTGTTTCCCTGTGTGATATCTAAGCTCATGGATGTTTTATTTCATTTGACATTATGGTCTCAAGGTCTGGCCACTTTCCTACAAATGACTTATGAACTGCATGTCCTTCTCTGTGATAGAGTAGTGTGTACTCCACTGTGTGTAAATACCACTTTTTCTTACATTCATCTGTTAGCAGATGTATAGGCTTGCTTCTGCGATTTAGCTGTTATGAATGGTCCTGCTATAATCGTAGATATGTATACCTCACTGTAATGTGATGTCTTTTAGCTCTGGGGAAGATATCTAGAAGGGAAATAGCTGGGTCAAATGTAGGGAACATTGAGGTGTACCCTGAGGAGAAACAGCAGGAACGAAGAAAAGATAGATAAGAAGACAAGATGTGTCAGGTAGTGGCCTGTTGGCCTAATTGGCAAACGACTCCCCAGAACAGCAGGAGGGACATTTATTTATACCTTTGCAGGGTTAGTATCACATGATACAAGGTTGCCTAGTGACTAATAGCTGACATTAACCAGGCAAAATGCTTTTATCAGCACTGAGGTAGTTTGAGTTTTTAGGCCCAAGGACCTAGTCTGGCTCTCACACACATTTGACTAGTTTTCAGCTTTAGCAGGCTCCCAACAAAGTGGAATTTCTAGTTTCAGTTTTTGAGAAATTTCCACACTGATTAATGTTGTAACTCAAAAATCAGATGCCAATGAGGCAAGTCCAAAAGTTAAAGAAGCGCTTTATTTTAGCTGGTACCCAGTGGCAGACACCCCCGCAAGATGCTGAGGTGCGTGCCCAGGAGGGGAGAGACAAGGGTTTTTAAGACTGAAAACCGCAAAGGGGAGGTCTTATGACTTGAGCGCAAGGGCAACTTGCGGTTACAATTTTTAGGAACAAATAATTACAATTTATGGTT